GTTTGTAAAGGAGAAGCTAATTCCTCCAACTCAATATAGTTTGTTGGGTCAACATGTTTTTTATTAGAAGTTGTATGAACTCAAAAAGATGACACAAAATTACAAAAAAAGTTAATTGTTCCAAAAAATCCTATTTTTACAGAAACTAATTAGTTCTGTACTGTTTTGCTTCCTTTAACTCACCTGAGAGTTCAGGTATTTCTCAGGTATTTGCTGTTATTCTCCAGTTTCTGAACATATTTCTGGCTCTTTGCTGCCAGACTCTCAGCCTGTTTGTGCTGATTTTCTGTCACAGTGCAGAACTTTGTGGTTCAGGCTGTCGCTGCTACAAACACGATCCGGTCCCTCCAGGATTCAGAAATGTGATTCAGTGGGCGAACGCTGATTTAATCATCCAGCTCCAGGTTGTTGTGTGTTAATAAAGTCAAAGCAGCTGGAGCCAGACGAGGTCCGACTCTCAGAGGAGCAGCCGCTTCACAGGAATCACTCCAGTTTCTCAGCAGTGGAGAGTCTAAGTGGCTGTGGGAGTAAACAGTGTTTTCCAGCAGCAGAATACTAACGAATCTCCTGCTTGCTTCCACAGAAACTCACTCCAGAGTTCTGCCATGACGGTTGGAGGCCACCCTCAGCCTCCTGTCAGGCTGAGCTGAGCTGCTGCTGCAGGAGGCATCATGTTGACGTCCATCGTTGGCCTGACAACGGACCTCAGCTCGACCAGGACTCGGTAAAGCTGCACAGCATGGAGCCCTGACGGCGACTCGGCCCACGTTTACCCGAGAGGAGACACCCGAACGTCCCACCGAAGCCCCGCAGACCACGCTGCGTTCAGGTTCATGTTTCTATGTGGTGTTTGTGAGCGTCCAGTGCAGCCTTGGATCCACAGTGGAACCACAGTCCGCCCGGACGCACCGCCTTCGGGCCGGAGGCGCTCCAAGCCAGCAACTACTCCCTGGTGCTGCTGATCCAGCTCAGCCTGCTCACCTTCGACCTGTTCGTCAACTCGTTCAGCGAGCTGCTGAGGACGGAGCCGGCCGTCCAGCTGGTTCTGTTCATGTGAGTCCAACTCTCTCACAGTTTCAGGAACCTAACGTCGCCTCTGGCTGGAGGAGGAACAGTTATCAGCTGAACACAGCTTGTTTTAATGTATATTTACACAAAGACTCTGGAGATAAAGTCCTCCTGATCTTGTCCTTGTTATTTACACTGTAAAAAAAATTCTGTGAAAATCTATGTGCCAGAAAAACCACGTTGAAGGTACGAAACAGTAACATAAATATATGTACATATATATATATATGTACATATATATATGGAGATCTAGCTCCGCAGCATCAGTTACCATGGCGATCTAGCTCCGCAGCATCAGTTACCATGGAGATCTAGCTCCGCAGCATCAGTTACCAAGGAGACCTAGCAGGTTATAAGAGAGCCACCTTCGTGACACTGAAAACTCTGCCTTTAAGCTCAACATACCTGATAACCCACTAATCCCGTTTCATGGTTCAGCCCTCTGGACTAATCTGTTCTACAAAACACTGTTTTTTTTCCAGTGTTTGCTGCCCTGCTCATGTTTCCTTCGTCTTTTCTCGTCTCAACAGAATCCAGGACATTTCCATCCTGTTCAACCTGATCATCATTCTGCTGATGCTGTTCAACACCTACGTGTTCCAGGTCGGCCTGGTTGCCGTACTGTTGGAGCGGTTCAGAGCTCTGTTAATGCTCTCTGCTCTCTACCTGACCTTCAGCATCATTCTGCACTCCTGGCTCATGGTACCAAAGCGAGCACACTTCACGCACAGCTTTATTCTTTGTTGTCATCTTTCATAGCTTGTGGTGATGTCTGTGTTTTTTCACCTTGTTTCAGAATCTGCGCTGGTTAAATACCAACAGATTTATTTGGACAGACGGCCTCCAGGTGCTGTTTGTCTTCCAGAGAACCGGTAAGATGCTCGTTTTTAAAAATGATTTCCACCTAAATTCATCTGTATTCATGTTGTTTTCATCTCATCTGAAGACAGAAGCCGACATCAGCCAGTCACATTCTGATTAGTTTTAACCGTATTCACGAGCAATCGTAGATGTTCACCAATTAAAGAGTTTAAATTCTGTTTTATATTTTAAACAGATGTAGTTTGTGGGGATTAAATGAGAATAAAAACTGGGAAATTTCACCTCCTGACTCAGCGTGCTTTATAGAAGAAGCAAGAGACGATTTCTCCTCGAGTTAAAAACACTTACAAGAGGATGAATTCTGCTTTTGAAGAACTGTTTTTGCTTTAACGTCTCCCCCGTTAGTTTCTGCCTCTGTATGCATTAAGGAGCACAAACTCAGCTCTGCAAATGTCCGGTGCTGCTCTTAATAAACAGAATAATGAGTGTTTCTGCTCTGCGCTGGCGGATAGTTTATAGTTTTATGTTCACGCTGCGGGCGGCGACATGACATCAGCATGTGGGGGTGATTTTCATATGAGCCGGTAAGTGGATAAAAGGATTAATCGTCTCGTTGGCGTTGTTCTCAGCAGGTGATCGCTGATAAAACTGACAACAAACCGCAGCGACGCTTCACTTTACCGTGGGTTTGGTTCTGTCCCTGATTAAGACGCGTCCACATCAGTCGGTGTTTGATTCGTTTAAAACTCTCACTCGGTTTTAAATGGGTTTTTACTTCTAACATCGATGTAAAATCTCTCAAATAATCTTAATCTACACGACAAACTCATAAGAGAACTTCACCACTCGCCTCAAAATACAAACGCAACTTAAGAATTAACTCATAAATACTCTCTGTCTCTTGTTTCTATATAAAATCCTTGTTGTGGAGATTTGGTTTCATAGAGAGTTACTGTTCAGCTACAGCAGAAGTTTTAAGATTTTCATGATGATTCTAAAACTAGCTGCAGCAGCTGCATTAAATATCAGTCGACTGATGTGTTTTTTTTTTTTAAGCGTTGACACCAAAACCGATTTAAAACAGATATAAATTTCAAATAAAAGGGAAAATTTTGCTCCTAAAATTTAGCCTAACCACAGAAGTTTGCTTCAATACCTTTAGTTTATTCTTGTTTTTTATATGTTTAACTGGAAGAGAACTTTTTTAATGTTTATCCCTTACTGTTGATTGGATTTTACTCGTGATGTGTCATTAATCAGGTCCTTGCTGCCAGTGGTCACGGCAAAGTTAATATACTTTATTGGAAACTAGCAAAAAAAAAAACTAAAATACAATACAGATAATAACATCTGCAGAAATATAAGCAACATGTGGGTTGTCAGAAACCAACAAAAGCAAAAATGAGCACAAGTGCAATAAACAGAAATGATTCACTTGTCATGTTTTGTTGGTTTTGTGCTGCTTGATGTTTATTCAAAGCAACGAAAACGGGGAAAGCGACGCAAAAACAGGATTTTTTCATGCAAAAAGAAAAAAACGTCACAAGATACTCTGACGGCTGATAAGAAACACATCTAAACAGTCTGCTCAGAGCGTAGGATTTTGTGTTTTTGCGTGTAAAAACGTCCTGTTTCTGTCCGTTTGCAGCTTCGGTGTTGTACTACTACTTCTACAAGAGGACGTCGGAGTACCTGGGCGACCCTCGGCTCTACGAGGACTCGCCGTGGCTGCGAGAACTCTTTGCTCGAGTCAGACAGTGAAGCCCGAGGACACCAGGAGGCCAGAAATAGGAGGAAAAGCAGCTCATACGACCTCGAACCTGGTCGGTTTAAAACAGCTCATTTACAATCGCGCCGCTGTCTGCGTGTGGGAAACAGTGACTTCCAAACTGGAAATGACAAACAGAGGTAAAATGCACTTCTTGCACCAGACAGGCCAAAAGGATGTTCCACACAACGTTTCCTTCCAGCGCAGCGAGGATTGTGCCAAAATCTGGGAGGACGTTTGAGTCCAGAACGCCTCGAAATGGTGACAATGACATGAAAAATGCTGAAATTGATTTTTTTTATTTCTGAACATGCCCTTTTGATTGTTCCTCCTCTTGTTGCTGTGCAGTTTTTAAAGTCTATCTTGCAGATGTTTTATATGTGTGTTTGTTGCTTTGAGTTTGTTTGTCGGTTTAACTTTTGTTTTTGTTGGCTCAGCAGTTACTCATCTTATTATGTGCATCATACGTCACACGTGCTCTAAATGCAATAAAATATGATTTAAAACAAGTTCTGCGTGTGATTTAAACCTCAGGCCTTTGTTGGAAACACGACGCCAGACAACTGAAGCGAAGCTGCTCCTTCAGCTCATCGAACTCTTGGAGGAGAGATTCGTCCTGCAGCTTGAACTGAAAACCAGAAAACAGAAAGATTTCTTTATCCTGAATCGGTTTCACAGAAAATCAATCAATATTCAATATAGGCATTCAAGGATTCAAGGAAACTCTGGATTTGTTAGGTTTTTCTATTACTTATTACGAGAAGTGTCTTGAGATGGAGCATGTTGTGATTTGGCACTTACATTCACAAATACAAATAAATTAGAATTTAAAACTAAAAACAGCAAAAAACAAAACTATTTTTTGCTGAATTCTTATGTTAAATATAGAAGAAACTTATATTGAAGTGCACCGGAGTTGATCAAAGACAGGCGACAACAAAAAACATGTGCAAGACAGAAAACAGGATAAAAACGTATAAAACTAAGACCATCAGGAGAACCAAAAGCTCTGAAAACCTGTCTGCGTTGACATTTCCCTTTTTATCCCCCATAAATACAGATTTCAAAGCATTAACAATATTAAACAATAAACCCCAAACTGTCTCATCTCTATGTAAAAAATGAACATGACTGATAAAAACACGAGACCAACTCACCCTTGTTGCGTATTTAAGACACTGCTCTGCGTCTTCTGGTCGTCCCAACTGAAAATAAAAAGTTCATCAGACGAGTTAAAGCAGCTGTAGATGATGGAAACCTGATTTGGTGTTTAATTACATCCCAGCAGAAGGTTTAAAGAGATTTAAATGTCAAGTGTTCTTAGAAGGACCTCAGAGTTTATGTGAAGACTGAACAGAATTATTTAAAATTTGCTTGACTAATTTAAATAGTAAGGTTGAGACTTTACTTTACGGTATTATTTATTCTATATATTTACCTTAAAAGTCTAAATATTGAGAATATTAGGTGCCTACAATATTATTTATTACAGAAATTTGCCTGACTTGTTTAAATACTAAGTTAAGACCCTTCAGTGTTATTTGTTAAACAAGTTTACCCTAATTTAAATATGACGTTTTTAAGGACCCTACAATATTATTTATTACAGAAATTCACCTGACTAATGTAAATAATGGGAATAGGACCCTATAATATTATTTATGACACAAATTTGTCTCAAAAGTATAAATATGAGGTTATTACGGATTTTAAAACATTTTTTGTGACAAAAATTCACTCAAAATGTCCAAATATTAAAGTTATTAAGGACCCTACAATCTTGTTTATTACACTAATATTTACCTGACTAACTTAGATATTAAATATTGTTTAGTAGTAAAATATAATTTATTACACACATTTACCTCAAAAATTTAAATATTAAGGTTACTTACGACCCTACAATATTATTTATGCCATAAATTTATCTTAAGTATTTTAAATATTAAGACGATCTATTATTAATTACATAAATGTACTTGACTAATTCAAAAAGTTATTGAGGAACCTACAATATTGATTACTATATATATTATATAAATTTAAATATTGAGGTTAGGACCCTATAATATTATCTACTGTTTATTACCTTAAAGGTTCAAATATTAATGTTATTAAGGACTTCAAAGGACTACTTATGATATAACCTAATAGTTTAAAAGTGAAGATTAAGACCCTACAATATTATTATTGATGCAAATTTACCCACAAAGTGAAGATATTAAAGCTATTAAGAACAATATTATTTATGGTGCAAATTTATCTTAAGTATTTTAAATATGAAGACGATCTATTATTAATTATATAGATGTACTTGATTAATTCAAAAAGTTACTGAGGAACCTACAATATTGATCATTATATATATTATATTAATTTAAATATTGAGGTTAGAACCCTATAATATTATCTATTGTTTATTACCTTAAAGGTTTAAATATTAATGTTATTAAGGACTTCAAAGGAGTATTTATGATATAACGTAATAGTTTAAAAATGAACATTAAGACCCTACAATATTATTATTGATGCAAATTTACCCACAAAGTTAAGATATTAAAGCTATTAAGAACAATATTATTTATGCTACGGGTTGACTTTATTAAAATATTCATGTTAAAACCTTATAATATGACCTAGAGTATAAATGAATGTGTTTGTGTGATTAATAAACAGCATCGATGGGGTGCGTGACGCTGTGGGAATTCTGTTCATCAGTTATCAACCAGTTATTTCTGCCTCCTTCTGTGATTTATGATCTGTTTTCTTTGTGAGACTATATTGTATGTTTGGGTAAAGAAAGGCTCCATTTTCCGGTGTTCTTTGAGAGCGGTGAGCGTCACACTGTGCAGAGGAGGCAGAGCTTGAAGCGGGACACGGCCGGTAGCTTTCAGAGCGCCGCCATCACTCACCCTGAGGCACAGCAGCGACAGGTAAGCCCACACCTCGGCGTTCTGGATGTTCAGACGGTTGGCTTCAGCCAGAGCCTCTTCAGCCTCACTCAGCTGCTGCAGCTGCACAAACAGACACAACAACAACAACAACAACAACAACAAGGCTCATTAGCTCCCAAAGCAGACGATGAAACACGGCTCCTCCGTACACTTTCAGGAGTTACCTCGGCTTTGTTCATAATAGAAAACCTCCGACTCTACTGCAAGACTTTTACATTTTTATGGGAGAATAAGAATAAATGAAGAATATAAACAATGCTGTTGGAGCTAAACCACAGCAGCTTCATCACAGGTTTTACTGGTGGTTTACTTGTTGTATTTCAGTTATATATCACACTAACATCTGATTGTTTTTCCACATTTCTTATGCTATTAGATTTCTTTCTGAGCAATACCTGGTACAAGAATCTCCTTTGGGAAATTTGGTCTTATCTCATCTTTAACCTTGTCTTATCTGATCTTAAACCTTATTTTATCTTTTTTTCAAATTTCTTTTCCTAGTGTAGGAGCCACTTATGTTTATTGTTGGCAGGTTATTTAGTTTGCATCATTTGGACACATGGTGGCGGTAATTAGACGCAGGCTGTATATGTAGAGGGCGCAGGTGGCAGGAAGAGGAAGGTACAGGTCGGGGGAGTTCTCACCAGACCAGCCACAGACCAGTAAACAGCAAACAGACTCGGACAGAGATATACTAAATTCACTAGAGGAAAACCCCTTTATGTTCATCTTTGGATTTCATCAAATAAACCATCCACTAAACTGCAAGTATATGGACTGGAGATTCTGTTTTGGGTCTGTGTCCGTTAACTCCTGCTCCACCTGAGCAGTAACGGCAATAAAAGGACATCCATCCATCCATTAACCCTCACTAGAGTCATGGGGGGCTGGAGTCTATCCCAGCTGACTCAGGGTGAACATGGAGACTCCACGCAGGAAGATCCCGGGTGTCCTCACCAGGATGAGAACCGACGACCTTCTAGCTGCGAGGCGACAGTGCTAACCACCGAGCCACCGTGCAGCCCCATAAAAGGACACTGGGACATTACAAAATTGCCATTACACCCAGCTTGTCCTATCTTATCTTAAACCTTATCTTATCCCTGATTTTATCATGTCCTAATCAATTTCACACCATTGTTCTGGAGTTTTACCCGGTAGCAGGCGGTGCCGAGGCCCAGCCAGGTGAGGCAGGATGGAGACTGTTCACAGGCCTGCAGGTAAACACCTTGGGCTTGTTCAAACTGAAAATAACAAAAAAATAAGACTGTTGAGGTTCATATCAGATGTTTATCGTTTTCTAAATGCTTCAAATTCATGAGAATAACTGTGATTTCAGTCTGGTTCCTACAGCATCATGCTCTTTATGAGAAACTTGCTTGATTATAATTGTGCTGCAAATTAAAATGTATAAACTTGTCCTGGAAGACCTTTTGTTCCTCACAAACTACGACAAGAGTGCTTCGCTGTGTTACTCCAGACTTTTTAAAACCTCATCCGGTGATTCGGCAGCAGCAGATTCAGTAAACATGAGTGAACTGTGTGACCGATTGTCTCAGTGTCTGACCTCCTTCTTCAGGAGATAGATGGATCCCAGGCGGAGGAGGACGACGTGAACGTCCGAAGGCCGCTGCTGGAGGGTGAGGCTCCACTCGTAGCTCTGCTGGGCGTCAGTGAACGCACCTTGCAGGTAGTGATAGTGACCGTTTAGAGCCCAGACAGCTGCATCCTGCTCACAGTGCAACAAAACACACAGGTTAGTGGTCGGTGGAGGTTTAATCAGGTGTGGTGGTGTCGTCACATCAGTCATTTTTAAGCAGTTCACTTTTAATTTACAGCAGATGTCCTCAAAAACTGAGCAACCGAGCAAGAAGGACACCAGTGAGGGAGGCCACCAGGACACCTATGACTTCTGAAGGAGTTACAAGCTTCAGCTTTTTTGGAGAATGGCCAAAAGACAGCCGCTGTTGAGAAAAGCTCATCAAAATCTGGACTTCTGGACTTCACCAGAAGACATGTGGAGACTCTGAAGTCAGCTGGAAGAAGGTTCTTTGACTTGATGAGACCAAAATGGAGCTTTTTGTCCATCAGACTAGATGCTATGTTTGCCGGACACCAAACACTGCACATCATCACAAGCACATCGTCCCCACATGAAGCATGGCAGTGGCAGCATCAGTGCTTAGAAAAACTAGACAAGTGGTGTAATAAATTTGTTAAGCACACGCCTACTATGTATTGGGATCTTTTTCTTTCTCTGTACGGCATGGAGGTATGAATACTGAAACCACAGACTGTACTTTCTAATGCAGTCTGTGATTAGAGCCTAGTGCTGCAGCTGGCACACGGTTTAGCAGTACCTGATCTCCGTGAAGCAGCGCCTCCCTGAGGTTGGCGGCTGCACTGCTGTAGTCGGCTCTGAGCAGCTGCAGGTGAGCCAGGTGAAGCAGGTAGGAGACGCTGCGACCTCCGTCTGAACTCAGCAGCTCCTGGGACAAAGCACACTCCGCCATCTGACAGCGGAAAACATTCAACACTGATTTGAGGCTTTGATTATGAACAAAACGACAAACTCTGAGGCTCATGGTTGCTGTGTTACAGTGCTGATACTTCTCTTGTAGGTTCCTTGAAGAACTTTTGCCTTCATCCAAGAGGCTTCTTCAGTTCTGACTGACTACTGGGGAGTTACAGAACTTATTTTCAGTCCAGCTCACATGGCTAACGGTCCATTATGACCCAGGACTACGATGCCTTAAGGTTTGAATTGTTGTGAAACCAGGTGGTCCACCAACACCACGATGACAACAACAAAATACCACGATTGCTGTTGTTGTTGGTGGACCACCTGGTTTCACAACAGTTCACACCTTGAGGCATGTGAGTGACTATAAATTTTGTAACTCCCCAGGAGTCAGAACTGAAGAAGCCTCCTGGATGAAG